CAATACCAAGCTCATGGCTTGGATGCAGAAGCAGCCACAAGCTTGCTTTAACCTCTTGATTACCAGGATGTTGATAAACATACTTTGGTAGACAAGAGGTTAAAAAACATAATGCATTGCATGGCCTTTAAACTATGGTCAGCGAGCTCGGAAGAGCTAATATGGGAGATATAGTAGCCCCTCTGCTATAAAAGGGGGGCACAGAGCAGCCATAGTATCAGAATACTGGAAGCTGCTGTAGGGAAAGGATAGGGAAAGCTGACAAACTGCATAGGCACAGATTAGGATCAGTTAGGAGACCTGCTAGCAATTTGGGCAATTTTCCCCTTTCCTATCTATTATGTTCCTATTACTGTTTTTGTGTCTAATTTTATTTTGTGGTTGATTTGAGATTAGCTTCTGTCCCATCCATTGGAAGTTTTTTTTTTTTTTTTGCTGTGGCATCCCTTTAATGCAAATGGACTTTTGTTTCCAAGAGCAGTGTTTTATGTACATGTGTATTTTTGCACCAAAGTGCATAACTAACTTTACGTTTTTTAATACTAAACCCCATCTGCGATGTAGCTGACCAACTCTTTATGTTGTCAAGGTCTTCCTATAATGATTCTATATCCTGCGCCAAGGTTTCCTCTTATCGTAAAGTTTTCCCCCTATCATCAGCAAGCACTGAAATTCAGCTCTTGATTCAAACCACTATAAAACGTTAATAGACATATTGAACAGCATGGGCCCCAAGACAGAACCCTGGGGCACACCACTCCCAACTTTAGACCATTCAGAAATTTAGTCATGTATCACTGTTGTATAGACCTATTTATGGAATCAGTTTCCTATCCAATTACAGACAATTTAATCAACTCCAACCGACCTTTATTTATACAGTTGCAAGAAAAAGTATGTGAACCCCTTGGGATTACGTGGAGTTTTGCATGAATTGGGCATAAAATGTGCTCTGAATGTCATCTAAGTCACAACAATAGAAGAACACAGTCTGCTGAACATAATACTACACAAACATTAGATGTTGTCATGGTTTAATTGCACATAACATGTAAACATTCACAGTGCAGGGAGGAAAAAGTATGTGAACCTTTGGACTTAATAACTGGTTGACCCTCCTTTGGCAGCAATAACCTCAACCAAATGTTTCCTGTAGTTGCAGATCAGACCTGCACAACGATCTGGAGTAATTTTGGACCACTCCTCTTCACAAAACTGTTTCAGTGTAGCAATATTCTTGGGATGTCTGGTGTGAATCGCTCTCTTAAGGTCATGCCACAGCATTTCAATCGGGTTGAGGTCAGGACTCTGACTGGGCCACTCCAGAAGGCGTATTCTGTGCTGTTGCAGCCATTGTTTTGTTGAATTACTTGTATGCTTTGGGTCATTGTCCTGTTGCATCACCCATCCTCTGCGGATCTTCAGTTGGCGGACAGATGGTAGTACGTTTTCCTGCAAAATGTCTTGATAAACTCTGGAATTCATTTTCCCATCAATGACAACAATCCGTCCAGGCCCTGAGGCAGTAAAGCAGCCCCAAACCATGATGCTCCCTCCACCATGTTTTACAGTGGGGATGAGGTTTTGATGTTGGTGTGCTGTGCCTTTTTTTCTCCACACATAGTGTTGTGTGTTCTTCCCAAACAACTCAATCTTGCTTTCATCTGTCCACAGTATATTTTGCCAGTAGTGCTGTGGAACATCCAGGTGCTCTTTTGCAAACTTCAAATGTGCTGCAATATTCTTTTTGGACAGCAATGGCTTCCTCCGTGGTGTCCTCCCATGTACTCCATTCTTGTTTAATTTTTTCCTTATTGTAGATGTGTCAACAAAAATGTTAGCATGTGCCAGAGATTTCTGTAGGCCTTTAGCTGACACTCTGGGATTCTTCTTTACCTCATACAGCATTCTGCGCTGTGCTCTTGCAGTCATTTTTACAGGATGACCACGCCTAGGGAGAGTAGCAACAGTTCTAAACTTTCTCCATTTGTAGACAGTCTGTCTTACCGTGGACACATGAACATCAAGGCTTTTGGAGATACTTTTGTAACCCTTTCCAGCTTCATGCAAGTCAACAATTCTTGATCGTAGGTCTTCTGAGAGCTCTTTTCTGCGAGGCATGGTTCACATCAGACAGTGCTTCTTGAAACCAGTAAATCCAAAACAGGTGTGTGTTTTTTAAGGGCAGGACAGCTGTCAGCAACACATCCAATATCATCACACTGATTGGAGTCAAGGTTGGCTCACTCCTGGCTCCAATTAGCTCTGGGAGAAGTCATTAAGCTAGGGCCTCACATACTTTTTCCTCCATGCACTGTGAATGTTTACATGTTATGTGCAATTAAACCATGGCAACATCTAATGTTTGTGTAGTATTATGTTCAGCAGACTGTGTTCTTCTATTGTTGTGACTTAGATGATGTTCAGAGCACATTTTATGCCCAATTCATGCAAAACTCCACGTAATCCCAAGGGGTTCACATACTTTTTCTTGCAACTGTAGATTAAATGATTATGTGGTACAGTATCAAGTGCCTTATGAAAATCTAGATAAGCTACATCCACAGAACTTACACCATCCGATTTCTCACTTGCTTCAGTTTAGAACAATAACAGATTGGTCTGACAAGAGCAGTTTTTCCTAACTCTATGCTGATTGTCACCTATGATATCTTTATCATGGACACATTTCTGTATAGGGTCCCTTATCATTCTCTCAAATGCCCTGTATACTACTGATGCTAGGTTGGCTGGTCTGTAATTTCTTAGTATACATTTCAATACTCTTTTGTAAATTGGTATGTTTGTTCTACAACCAATAACATGGTACCATTTCACTCAGTATGGTGTCTTTAAAAATTAGAAATAGCAGCTTGGCTATAACTGCACTATTATATATACATTTTATTTAAATATTTAAAGTACAGTAGAACTAAAGGCTAAACCTTTTTCTTTGATAGAGTAAGGGAGGGTTACAACCCCTGTCAGTTTTTTTTTGCTATCTGTGTCACATTAGGGAGATTTTCCTTCACTTCCTGGCCAAAACAGGAAATGAGAAGAAATTTCTGGTTGTCACCAGAGTCACCAGAACTAGTGATCCCAGTGGAATATTTCCACTCTATTACTGTTCCGTGGACAAAATTTAGCATTTTCCTATATTTTCACTATTGATGATAATAGTAAACGTGACAAATAGAGACGGTAAATCTCCCTAACGGTGCACAAACAGCAATAAAAAACCTGACAGGTTTTGTAATCCCTCTCCACTCTATCCAAAATGTAAAACAAGTGTTGCCCTTAGTTTAATTTTAAGGCTTTCCCTCTCCTACTCCTGCAAACACAGGCAGGGACGGTAATGCAAACTTGGTATAAATATTTGCAGCTAGGAAGGTTGATGCAAGGGGGAAACCAATTGGATTTTGTGAGGAGATTCATTTCAATCTCCACTCAGTCCTCACTGTCCTTTCTTACCCTAGGATCACATCTGTGCGGGTGGTGCCGCTGCGGATCCACATGAAAATCCGTGCAGCCGTAACCACCCAAACAGAGAAATGCGGACCCGTGGGCGGGTGCCATTAGTTCTAATGGCAGGCTGCCTGCACTGGAAAACGCAACCAAGGTTCCTGTGTGGGCTGCATTTTCCAAAGAAGTGCAGGGACTTCTTCCCTGCATGTCATGGGCACGGGAGTCCATTCAAATGAATGGGCTCCTGTGCCCGTGCAAAATGCGGCCCGCACAGCCGCATATATATATATATATATATATATATATGTGTGTGTGTGAACCGGGTTTTTAGTGAGTCAATCTCCAAGGGAAAAACCATCAAGCATAGAGTCCTATAGGTATAGGCTGTTTATCTTAGTCTAAATCAGGAACATCAGGGAAAAAAATTACAGGCAAGTCTAAAAAAAGAGATAGAGGTGCTGCCACATGGAGGTAGTGGGTGGCAAGCCTATTGGGACCTCTTCCTCCCTCTACTTCCCATCCTATGTCTCCTCCTCTCACTATTCCTCCTCCCACTATCACAATCACTTCATTCTCCTCCTGCTCTTCCCCCTCCTCCACCTCTTCCTCCCTCTACTCCTCTTCCTTCTTCACCTCCTCCTTCTATGTGATGATGGCACAAGGAGAAGCTCTGTGGAGCTGGAGTTATATGTAGAGCATAGTGTCCTTATAAATTATAGTCCCCTTCCTCTTCTTCAGGGGTCTCAAAAAGTTTCAGTATGGGGGCAACATTTTATATTTTACAAATATTTGATGGACAAAAAAACAGTTTTACAATTGAATGAATACAATTTAAATTAATCAATCATTTTTACTTATTTTTCTAATCAGCACAATATGATTCAGAACAACAGAGAAACAGTAAAACAGGGCAAACAAATTCAAAATATACCTGAGCTAATAATAAAGGTGAAACAAAACTAAATTCATTCTTCACCTTTGTACACAGTTCTGGCAATTGGCAATCATAAACAACAAAACACGAAGCACAAGAATCATGTTTTATGACAAGATAAGTCAAATGTTTTGTGACAAAATAAATGCAAATGTTGAAACGGATTTTTAAAATTTCAAAATATTACTGAACGAAGCTTGATTACAATTTTAAAAAAATTTGACATAAAATTAGCCTACCTATAGAACGTTCACTGTTTGGGAAAATTTACAAAATATTATTTTAGACCTATATTTTGAAGGAAAGGAAACTGAATCTTAAAATAAAGGGTTTGTTTTATTTTACAAATGGATATGCATAGACATGTGTGTTTCATTGCAATTCATTTTTCGGACGTAAAGATTTATATGAATCTCTGAATGGACGTAGTAAGGAATGTCGATGTCAATCAGAAAAAAAATTATTACAAAATAACGAATGCATTCATTTCATTAAGATAATGTCATATGATGCGATAGTAGTAGTAGTTTGGGCCCATGGAAGAATGAATTAAATTTTCAAATTTGTCCTATAGTTCGAATCAGGGGTGGACTGACAACTCATGGGGCCCCCGGGCAATAGCGTCACATGGGCTGCTCTTTACATGCCATCATAAATAAGAATGTAAACATAAATGTAGACATCATTTGAGTGATACCACATAGGATAAAATAATATAAATAATGTAAGGACCACAAATCACATAAAACACATGGAAGGCATAAAAGAAAACCATAAAAATGTATATATAAATAAAATATACATGTATTTGTGGTCCTTATATTATTTATCCTATGTGGTATCACTAAAATGATGTCTACATTTATGTTTACATTCTTATTTATGATGGCATGTAAGAGCAGCTCATGTGACGCCAGTCTCTGCTTCTGGTGCAGGTGCAGGATAGCTTGATGCTTAAAATCCCATTAGAATGTAATTCAGCCCATTGCAGGGATGTATTCTCACAGGATTCAGACACACTGCTGAGACACCCAGCCTCCTGGAAGTGTCACAAGCCAGGGCTAAGAAATGTTTTTCCAATATAGGAAATACTGTATGTCCTCTGAAAAAACACATGCAGTTGGTTATCACTGTAAGGCATGTGGACAGGGACAAGGTTTAAAGAGGCTGTAGGATATCAGCAACATTGAGATGTAATAAAGGTTGAGAAAAGTTAAAAACCCTTTGCCCCCTCCCAAAAAAAATCTCCAAGAATCCACCTATGGGACAGTCAGTAATGGTTTATATCTGGGATGGCCAGTGCCAACAAGTGCTACTCCCTATGCATTTTATCAGCAGTACTCCCTTTCACAGCTAAAACACAATGGGCTTGATATAGTAAAAGTGGAGGGTGTAAAATCTGATGCAGCTCTGCATAGAAACCAATCATCTTCCAGGTTTTTTTTTTGTCAAAGCTTAATTGAACAAGCTAAAGTTAGAAGCTGATTGGCTACCACGCACAGCTGCATCAGATTTTACACTCTCCAGTTTTTAGTAGATTAACCCCATTATCAGTATGGCTGCTGAGAACCCACCCTTTCTTAGTTTCTGGCCTGGCTTATCTAAAAGCCATCATATACAAAAACATGCAGCGCTAGAGTGAATAGATCTATCTCATAATACGGAGTGGCCACTTAATAAGATATAAACGCAGCTATCATAATAGTCTTATGCAACTAATATTATAACATTCTCATGGTTAAGAAGGTATAAATGGTGATAAAGGTGTCAAAGTCAATCTATCATCGGAGTGACGTAAATCTGTGACATCTGTGGTAGGAAATATGGCTGTGGAATGCACTAACCAGATAGCGCAAATAGAAGCGCATTGGAGTAAAATGACCTACTCCTGGTCACTGGATCAGGGAACCTGCCGGAATGGTGGTCGTCTCTACTATGGTCACCAGAGTCATCCGTGTCCTCTCCAGTAATGGAATTCCCAGGTATCCGGTGGAGTAAACGTTCATCCGGTATGCAGTAGAATCCTTGTGCCAGCGACCTCCCGGGGTGCGATGTGCGCTCAAGGACCAGGAATCACCTTTAGGGCTCAGAAATAACCCAAAAGAGAGGCTTCCGATAGTGTGATAACTTTTATTATGGAGTAGTAAACAAAAAACGCACTTACATGGTGCAATATACACTTCCAAAGATGGCCGCCCGTGTCAAGGTGTGGACCATGTGGGTAGTGGTTGTGGGTCAAATAGCATCCCCCTAACGCGTTTCGTGGCAACTGCACGTTTTCAAAGGGAGTTAGGGGGATGAACGTTTACTCCACCGGATACCTGGGAATTCCATTACTGGAGAGGACACGGATGACTCTGGTGACCATAGTAGAGACGACCACCATTCCGGCAGGTTCCCTGATCCAGTGACCAGGAGTAGGTCATTTTACTCCAATGCGCTTTTATTTGCGCTATCTGGTTAGTGCATTCCACAGCCATATTTCCTACCACAGATGTCACAGATTTACGTCACTCCGATGATAGATTGACTTTGACACCTTTATCACCATTTATACCTTCTTAACCATGAGAATGTTATAATATTAGTTGCATAAGACTATTATGATAGCTGCGTTTATATCTTATTAAGTGGTCACTCCGTATTATGAGATAGATCTATTCACTCTAGCGCTGCATGTTTTTGTATATGATTGTCCACCACGAGGCATTTTGGAGGCTTGCCTTTCATGCCAGCTGCTTCTCTATTTCGCTCTAAAAACTGTCCAGCGCTCGTTATACTCCTTTTTCCATTTATCTAAAAGCCCCTTATTGGCCCCTCTAAGCCAGCTGACCTAAGTTCAAAAGCCAGGCAGTGCATTATGGTTACTATGGAGAATTACATTATTAATTTGCTACTTTATCCCCAGCATGAAGCAATGCATGTGATAGGCATAAGGCATGGCATGTCATAGCCATACGGTAAAGTATGTCATCAGGAAGTTTGAAGCTGAACTCTAAGATAAGTAGAAATAGATATAATGATATAGTTCAGGGCTTGAAAAAGCCACTCGCCCGCTAGCCAAATGCAGGGGGAAATCCTTGTGTGGCGAGCACAGATGAAGCGGCTCCACCTGCGCTCCAAGCCTCGTTGTGAAGCCGACTTCCAGTTTCTTCTTCACAGCCGCGGGGGACACTTCAGTAGATTTCTCACAAGTGGAAGACAAGGAAGCACAGACAATCATAGCATAGAGCTGGAGGAAACTGGGGAGCTTGATACAGAAGGTGGAGACACAGAGATGGGAAGTGATGTAAGTGGAGAAGACAAAGAGCTAGCAAAGAGATCAAAGGAGCTTGAGAAAAAATTGCAGGAAGATGCTTCCAAGGATGCCAAGACGGTGAAACTATTACTACTCGGTGAGAAACAGATGTTTATGAGTGCGTGCTTGTGTGAGAGTATTGGAGAGACAGAAGATAATGATGGAGACACTAAAGAGGTCAATATTTTACAGCAAACAGGTCCATTTATATTAGCATCTGTATATTTTGCAAAGAGATCTGTCAAAGTAGATGTATTCTGTATTTCAGGGATATGGAATATAAATGTATATGAACCAACCTCACTGAAGAGCTATTTAATATAGTACAGTGTTGCTCCAGTGATTGGCCTAGAGACCTGCCCTTAGTAAACAAACTAACATAAAATAAGTCAGTAGTACAAATAGGTTAAAGTTTTTTGGCCATAAAAAGAGGCACTTTTTTCTTTTTTCTTATTGCCACACGTCTCTAAGGTCTCGGCTGGAGATAAAAAAATACAACATGTTTACAGTAACTATTATTCCATGTTTTTTGGCATCAAAATAAGCACTTTTTCTTATGCTATACTTCTGTAAACTAAACTTACATCTTTTAAAAGAGCCTTTAGTTACTAAAGTCTCTTTTTAAAGATGCAGGAGATAAACAAAAAAAATACAAAATGTTTACTACAGGTTTTAAAGCTGTAAAAACTTGATATTTTGATTTCACCCTATTACTATTAAGCTATTGCTTAAATTGACATAATAAAGCTATGTTATAATTGCAGTTTTTTATATTTTGGACTCTTTATTCTAAAGAAAAATTTAATTTCATAAGCTTTAAGGGGGTGTGGTTGGGGCAAGGTTGGGTGGAGCAACCGATGGAGAGTAAGCTTTGTGCCTGGCTAGTAGGTCTAGACTTGAAATTTTAAGCCCTGATATAGTTAATACAAGATACATGTATATTATGTTATTTTTGGTGTGCTTTGTGTAGTTTGTCCAGATTAGTGCAGTAATCCACCATGAAGCTTTGCCTTTGTGCAGGAGCTTCCTACATTAAGACAAGTCACTGCTGCTCTCTCTTCTCATATTGGGCGATTAGTCTAGTATCCATCCTGTCCTCTACACTCCCTTAGTTTTCTGCAGGCAGCCTACAGTGGTTGGGTTTACAGGCAATGTGCAGAAAAGGGATGATGACTGCTACATTTACAAGAAAATACCTTGGTTATTGAGATATATAGTCAAATGAAAGTTTTGTGCCTGTAATTTATCTTTACGATACCTGTAAAATTCTATTTAAACCTAAACAAACCCTTGCAACAGATATAAAAGTTTAGTTTAAACGTTGTGTAGTAGTAGAGCACAAATACAATTCCCTGCTGCTACGTCACTGTCTTCTGTATGGAACTGTCTGGCAAAGGCAGCAGGTGTGTGCTGGACAGCCAACTGCAGCAGTAAAGGGCTGAATTACTCCAAATTTCTCAATAATAATTCATTGATTGGCAGAGAAAGTTACTGAATCATTGCTGTGTATTTACGACAGGGTACTTCCAAGAAACGCAAGGCAGAAGACGACAGTGCACTCCTCTACTGTTGGAGCAATAGCCATTATCATGGCTGTACTCTTTGTGTGATATAGTTTACATTTGTCCTCTGCTGGCACTACACACCTGGCAATGCCACGTTGGTAAGGCCACTACTGTAATCTTGAAGGTGGTGATGCCAAGCAGCAGTTATAGGTTTTTTTTTTAACAACAAAGGGAGGCTTTTCAAGGGAGTATACCAGGAAACTGTACATACATTTAAAGTATATGTGAACCCTCACCTTGTAAAACAACTCATTCAGTTTAAAAACAGAAATAAAATGCAGATATGTGTTCACTTATAAAAAAAAAGTTCTAAATACCATTTTTCCCCTTTTTGATAAGTGATCACATACCCTCTGTTCTCAGCTGCTTAAGTGCTGGGGGGGGGGGGGGGGGTGCAGCAGCACACACATCTTCCCAGTGAATGGCTGTGCAGGGAAAGGGGGGGGGGTCTGTCAGCAGAAGTCTGATCATTGGAGGAAAGCAGGCTGAGTGCTCAGCACAGCCATAAAACTGACCACGCTGTGCTCTCCTGCCTACTGTGGTCAGTTTTTAATGGGAAAGCATAGTAACTGGCAGGCAACAGTTATTACACACAAAGGAAGCAATGCAAAGATAACAGGATACATTTTCATACAAGTTCATACTACAACAGGCACATATCAGGAATGTGACATTTTGGGTTGACATATTCTCTAATATTCATACAGAAGGTTAGCAATCTGGGGGGGGGGGAGCAGGGTCTCTTTAATAGATTGCCCAATCTCCTTGTGTGCCATCCTCTAGAGAGTGACAGCTATCCAGATTTTTTTTTTACCATGAGGTGTTTTCTGCTTTTTAATATATATTGTAAAAAATGTATGCCCAGCAGCTATGATTTGGTACAATCCTACAGCCTTTCCTTTGCTTGACTGACATTGTCATACCAGCTATAACAACCAATCTAAATTTATGCTTATTGGCATTAGCCTGGTTTCTATGCACATCAACATTTCCACGTTTTACCAGATTTCTTCTCTTAAACTTCTTTTCATCAGAAAGCAGATATTTAAGAAAAGATTATAGCACCATGCACTATTTTAAATGATGGACCTAAGAAATAAACATTGTTGTAAGTAAATAGGATTCTTGGTTTAATTCCTGCCAATGATACTAGCTTTATGAACTGATACGTGCTAATACATGAGTATATGAGGGTTTTTTTTTAAACATCCAGTACTTTAAGAATAAATAAAATAAATAGTAGTTTCAGGATCAGAATCAATACAAGAATTTCAAGAATCAGTGTTTAACACTGCATTTAAAGGTAGGTCATATGTGAAAAAGCGGAATCTTCAAAACTTTTGTAGCAGCTTCCTAGATTATTAAGATTAGGTTATTAAGATGTTAGGTAAATGTAGTTATTTTTTAGCTCCTCTGTAATCATTGGAGCAGTTTTTAATTTCAAAGGGCTGTTTTAGGTTTCACAGGCTGCAGGTTTGATTATTTCCACCTGTATACTGGAGGCTTCCAGAACATGGAGGATGAGAAAGTCAAATGTGCAGCCTGTATGCCCAGTAGGTGGCTGATGAGGAACATAAATAGCCTGAGGCCTGGAGCAGCCCTGGTCTTGTCCTGCTAGAGGAGTCCCCAGCCTCTGGGGCTTCTGCCCCTTTGGGACAATTCTTCTGGAGTCAGCTGATGTTCTTCGAGGTCACAGCTGTTGAAAAGCTGTGTGTGTGGGGGGGGGATATTCCTAATTTCCTCTGGAGCTAAGAATCTGATCCAGAGAGCTCACTGGGTAGTGCTTGGTTGAAGCTTGGGAGTGTGCAGCTGCCCAGGATATTGTGAGTACTGATCCAAGCTCAGTGACTGTGTACATTTGGGATAGCTGGGCCAAGTAGTTTCTCTCCTGAAGGGTCTCTACTTCTACTTTTCCCTAGTCATTAGTGCAGGAGAACTTTCTTCATCATCATTATCTGTGGTGTAAATGACCTCACAGTCTACACTGTGAGATTACAAACTGTTCTATGCAGGGGCGGACTGACAACTCATGGGGCCCCCGGGCAATAGGGGATCATGGGGCCCCTGTGTCCTTGCCCAAACTCAAAAAAGCCTATGAAAAAGGTACCAGGGGCATCTCATGGGGCCCCCTACTGACCCCGGGCCCTCGGGCAGTGCCCGAGTTTCCAAATGGTCAGTCCGCCCCTGGTTCTATGGTTAATAAAATAAAGCAATTGGCACAGTCTAAAAATTCAAAATAATCTCAATAAACCAGACAAACAAATATGCGAATTTACAAGTTGCTGTTCATACACTGTGTGATTTCACCACACTCCCAAAATTACATAAATATACAAAATTATGTAGTGCAGCTTAATATAAAATATTAATCATTTAAAATTACCAAAAGGTCCCAAGAAAATAAAGTCCATGAAAATATGTGCTTCCAACCACCAATGTGTATAATGTGCTCGGTATCTTCCCATGAATCATGCATCAATAGTGTCATACAGTACATGGTTCCACCTCATGCTGATAATAAATTCTCACCTCCAACTTTTGACCTCTATGAGTACTTTGAGGTCAAAATGCGCTTTTTGCTGCTTATGGGCTAATAAAGGAACTGGTTCTTGAACACTGCTTGCCTCCACCACATGCACCATCTAAATAATTATAAAAACAAAAAAATGACCAATAATGCTCTTTAATATAATATATACATTTTATTAATGCTCAAGGAAAAAGTGTTATTTAAAACCACATATATACAATATATGGCATTATCTCCTCACCATTCCACACTTCCCAGATCAAGATGGCTGTGGTAGGATTTCACCGGCGTGGTTCTGCTCCCTATACGTGTTACGTTTGCTTAACGGACTTCCTCAGTAGGACCTACTGTGAGAAATAGACTGTGCTTAAGTGTTTGGAGAATCCCATACCACCCCCAAACCCTATTCTGTTACAAGTTCTTCAAGCAAATAAACTTTTAAAAAACACCCCCTAGACTGTCCAGTGAACTGGAGTGGATGGACTCTTGCTGGGTGCCTTTCTGCCTCTGTATTGTGTACGGAAAGAACTTCTCATAATCAGTGGCTCCTCCAGGGGTAGCGCTACAGTTTATTATCATAATACTTCAAATACTCACAGGGACACTTGAAAAACAATGTTTCAGAGACTAATTGAGTATTTGAGCTTTTTTAATAATAACATTTTATTGAAGATTCTGCATGAGATTGGTGCCCTTTCTGTTTTGTTTTATAGCGATGCTTGAAGATTTCCCCATTCTGGAGAGAGCTGCAAGACAGAGAACGCATCTGTCTAATCACACTCATATATGAGCACATGAAGGTACTTTGGACAATGAACTACCATTAGAACTGTATCATTTAGCCCTTGAGCACTGGCTGGGAACAATTTTTAAACATGTGTTAAATGCATGTTAGATTACTGTATATGATCATCAGAATACTTTTAATACTGAAAACACCTAGATATGCTTATGATACAAACACATTCCCAAAATGACAAGATTTGTACATACGTGACTATGTCTTGTTATTGACAATTTTTCTACAAAATCAGATACAGATGACTCTTGATATAATGCTCTCAGCATTTTACAGGTGCCCTGAAGTTATTGTGCTCCACGACTTTGCTGGATGTCATTATATACTGTATGTACCATTTAAAATTGCAGCACATGGACAGATTTTAGGTGAAAGGTAAAAAACAAGATGTTACTACACAGGTGAAAGGTTGAAAGTATTTATGGCTGTGAGAGTATGCAGCATTCAGTGACTGAGCAGGTAACAGAAAAGGATTCCACTAAAAATATAGCCCTAATTTAAATGTCATTGCTATGATTACAAAAGTAACAATGCTACACAGAAATCTCAGGTTTATATATTAAAATGATCAATAATCTAAAAATGTGTTTTACAGAATGACTCTCATGTACTCATTCTCTATAACACGTGGGACATTGCTCTGCCATCTAAATACAACATTTAAAATCAGTTTTTAGGTGGGGCTTAATACGCTTGAACGGGGACTTGCTCATAGAGCTCGCTAACGCCTTCACTCAGAGGCGGAGGTCACTGTCACTAGAAATCATCATTAGGGTCAAATCAGTTGCTAGGGAAGAGGCTAAGCTCACAAACCCCCTCACTACCAAGGCTTCCATCACCCATGCCAAGTCACCCACGAATACCCATTGGCTGCCTAAATACCTGACATTAATCTGATTGCCCCTAGCAGTGGCAATAGAACCTCTTCTCCTTTTACAGCAGATTAAACCTTTGCAACTTGTCTGGAATGATTTGTCTTCATCCCATTCTAAACTCTGTTCTTTCAAACACCATGCATGCACCCCTTTGTAAATCAGAACTGAAGACCCACTGTAAAAAGAGTGAGAAGGCAGGCTTTTGTTGCAGAAGAGACATGCACTACCTCTTCTGCAAAAAAAATGCCTCTACCTGCCGGCTTGCTGTCTTCTCTGGCACTGTAAGCTTACAGTGCAGGGCTAGTCTCTGAGTTGAGGGCCTCCTGCATATGTGCAGGAACAATGTCATTAGCCACTGGCCAATGGAGAGACCCAAAGACCGTCATTCAGAAGAAAATGCTGACTCCGATGCAGGACCATTGGACAGGTAAGAATTGAGGCTTTAGTTCCACTTTAAGCAACTTCAGACCAGGCACCTTGTTGCAACTCAAGAATGTTTAGTTCGATTTCTTCCATACATAGCTACAGGCTGCCCTGGGTCATACCTTATAAATAGTGCAAAGTTCATAGCATACATTTTCCACATTAACTCTATTTATCACTGGTATTTTACAAATTCTCCACAAGATTTGCAGGTGAAAAAATGTGCACTAAACAAGATTTTGGCAATGTGAAAATTGCATCAAACAGGATTTTCCAACATCTGTTCTTCAATAGGAAAACAGCTTTATCATATCATTCAATCTATTTATCTCTCAAAGAATGTACAGTAGATTTGATCGAAATTCATTTAGCATTCTCCAGATATTCACCCAGCTTAAATCTGGTTTAAACTGGTAAATTGTGTCTTAAAGCAGACCTCCTTCTCTCTCCCACATCCAATATTAGCATAATTACTGTACTATGAATATATCAGTCAGCTCATGTACCACCCTCCTATTTTAGCTAGAGGAGATGGATCCTAATGGGTAGACAGGAGCTGATTAGCAGCCCAGGTGTAATAGCCAGAGGGGTCAAATTGTGGTCAGGGCTTAGAGGCTCTGCAGGTCAGCCCTTCTAGAATTTCCCCATTCACTGAGGCTTTTGGAAGAGAGTCTTGGAGGCAATGGGTGGATGTGAGGAGTGGCTGGCTTCACTATTAAGAAACCTCAGCTAATCCCCAACAGAAGGCTTAGCAAGGGGCTGGGACTCTCTTAAAAGTGTTGGAGCCTACTCAGTAGCAGGAGTTGGGGTGGAAGAAGGAAAGCACAGCTGAGAGGAAGATGAGGATGAGGAAGAAGGCTGCCAGAAGGCCTAGTGGGTAGGGCCTGCCTGCAAGCCTGGAGCTGGAAAAGATGAAAACTTGGAACTCACTGGCCCCCTGAGCGAGGACCACCTGTATGACAGGGAAGGAGCAGCCCAGCTGATAGGCCTGGTAGCAACAGCCAACCCGCAAGCGGTACAGAAGAGGATCTGAATGAGTACACCTGCACCCCCTGGGCAGATAAGGGAAGGAACACTCTGGTGAGAAACCAGATTAGCCTTGTACTAGTGTCTGTTAACCCATGTAAAGGGACAGGAACCAGATCGCCTGCTCAGAAAAATCTCCAGATTGCTGGGAGAAGAGGAAATTTTAATCTAGGTGTGATACATCAAGGAGATGCTGGCTAGCTCTCCAACAGAGACTGTGTTATAGAAGAGAAGCTGGTAAATTGTTTCAATAATTTTGTCCTCAGTTGTCAGTTCCCTTGGGCATCCTATACCCCTCTTTACCCTATTCCATTTCTAATTCCCTTCAATAAACAACAAAACAAAAGCTCAAGGACTGATTTCTGACTCTGAATGCAAGCTTGTATGGAGAATGCCGATTGCCTGGCTGTGCAGGACTATAGGGGGACCCAATTCATCAGTAACCCCTAAGGAGGTAGTGCTAAACACATTTTAAGATAGCTGCTTCCCACCTCTTTGACTGTGTGGGCACATGCTAACACAGTGTACTGTCATTTAAAAAACAAATAAAATTATCATCGGAAGAAGGCTTCTTCATTCTTGCTTTGTGCAGCCCACCGCATGATGCCACTTCTGGTCTTATGCATGTGGCACACAAGATCTGGGGTTATTGAATAATTACAAGCCATGCCAGATTTCGTACGGCGCATGTGTGAGATTAGACAAGATTTATCTAGATTGCACTGCTGATACAGCCTTAGGGAAACCCAGAAGCTGAAAAAAATGTAAGTGTACCAAAAATGTTTTGCTTTTACAAATGGCATTCATGGATAGACATGCAGTGCTGTATGCATTCTGCTGTTTGGGGGATAAAGGTCCACTTTAAAAATTGTTTATGGCTTGTCAGCTGGTGAATTTTGGACAAATAATCTGCTATAGGCACGTGACCCTCCTTTACTTTTCTGTCTCAGATGTCTGTAGTTGAGTAGGTGAGAAACCTAGGTGGCATCTATATATAGCCTACAATCCTGCTAATCAGTGACTCGCATATTGGTAATATAGCTTTTTCATAACCTTTGCAAATTCAGCTGTATTTTTATATATCTTCATATTTTTTTAAATAAAGTATAGCTATTCATCTGTCAGTTTGCTGTTTGTGTCCCTATTAGAGAGGTTCACATTCCCCCTTTCTATTTGTCCTGTTTACTGTCATCACCAAAAGTGAAAGAAAATCCCCAAATCTTTGGATTTTTGTGAAATCTTCCAATGGTGTCACTAGTTCAGATGATTCACTTTGGAGGGACTTCCTATTTTGACTCTCTAGGAAGTGAAGGTAGATCTCCCCAATTGGACACAGATGAAAAAAAAATAAAACTTGCAGGGGCTATAATCCTCCTTTACTCTGTCTGACATGAAAAAAAATATTTTTTTTAGTTAATCTTTATGTCATTCCTGCTTAAAATGACCCATTCCTTTCCCAAAGCAGGGCAATGCACTGGGATCACTTAACTTGCTCTCCATTCCAGCAGCATGTACTCACATTTCCTCTTCACT